GGGAAAGAGAGAGAAAGTCTTTCTGGAAAACTTTTGGGAGAACTTGCTGGATAAAACAGAGGATGGCATAATAACAATTTTTTCACATGTACTATTCATTTCCACAGACAGACCTCTGTCACCACCACTGACGTGGAGCTGACGGCTGTGGAGAGTCACACATGGCAGTTCTTACACATGGATGTTTACCTTAGCCATGTCCTGGCTACAAGGCGGGACAGAATTTGGGTTTGTGTCATTCTTTCACATACCCTGGCTTCGTTTGGAAGCAGATGCAAAGGCATTGGCAAGTGTGTTGTTCCAAAAGGAGCCTAGTCTCATTGTCCACCATGGCCCACCACAGAGCAGCTGGGTCCCACACTGTAGACACAGCAAATAGAAGTGTGAATCCTGAAAGCTGCATTTGCCAGTGAGAGGCACAGAAATCCTGAAGAGTAGAAGAGATGTAGGGACTTTCTACAGAGGATCTTGCAGGTATTGTAAAAACAAAAGTCTAGCTCCGTACTCCAGGGAACTAGCAGATCAGAAAGCCTCAGATGCTTAGGCTGGTTGACTTGGGTCTTTCAGTCCTTCATTGGTTTCTTTTTTCCCTCTATGGTAAAGTATGATACTAAATAAAAAATTCTCAGTCCAGACATCACTCATCCTCTACAGGTCTGTCTTGCACCAGTGCAAAAAAGACAGACAGAACATAAAATGTCTGCTCTTGCCTTGGCCTTCTCTCTTTAGTAAATATGGTCCTCATCAGCCTAAAAGTTCTGTGATCCTTATAATATGCTAGCTAGCATCCCTAAAAATGGGGTGGAGCAAGGATTTGCCATTTCCCATAAACGCTGACAAAGAGCTGAGCAGGGCATGAACAGTAGCTGCCCTACATGGAAGCTATCCCTGCTAGAATGCAGTTCAACAGGTCAGGACTCTGCTTGAAAGACAGAACATGGGATTTAATGAATGTGACATTGAAGATACCTGGCATGTGATCATGATGCAAATGACAAATATCCAAAGAGTTGAAATACTCCCTCTGCTCTTTGGGTAATCCAAATATTTGATAATTACTTTAAATCTAGGGGGAAATGATGACTGCTTGCATATTCAAAAACCTCATTCCCTTAGTTTTGGTATAAGGCATTCTGCAAAACTGTGTGGTGAGGGGGTAAAAAGAGTATTACAACTTCTGAAAGACCTAGTGGAAAAAAAAAGTCCTACCAGACTGTAAGAGTTTGCA